CAAGATCAAAGTAACCACAAAGTTTCAAGCAACAATGTTGCCCCGTGTATGGTGGCCTTTAAGCATTCATATAATGGCCTCACCTGTAGCCCAACTCTAGTGGACAGTTCATCAAGAGTTTCCTTCAGTTTCCTCATTAGTTTAGAACAGTGTCTCTTCCTTAGGGCTGGGTTACACTCAAACACGTGTCTTTTACGCTTACGCCCACTCAGAATGGCAGCAGCTGCTGCAACGCCTACAGTACAATAAAACACAAACAATGAGTTTTGATGAACACAAAACATTATTGAAGGACAAGCTTCATAAAATGTTACTTTCAGGCAATACTGCAATACTTTGTGAGAAGAAAATTGCTGGTATTAAATTTAACGATTCTGTAGCTTGTGGTGGATTTTGCTGGTACTAAAATTGCTAATAATATGACATTATTTATAACTGTGGGTATTAATAATTGTAATTTTTAACCCAAACGCCAAATTCGCAATTAATAGTACCCATATTGAAAGTAATCTCAAGGTAGAAATTACACATACTAGTAAAACTCACCAACAGGGCCGGCATTAGCTAGCTTAGTGGTTAGTTCAATATCCTGCGTCAATGTGGGGGCCAGCAATTCACTCGTATCAAAATTACTATCTGGGCTAGAGGGAACGTGAGGCTCATTTAAAACCATGTCAATATCCCCATCATCCCTACCATCGGCTCTACCAACAGGGTGTGACGCTGGAGCAGCGAGACTCGGCCCATTCATAACACCAGCAATATCATAGTCTATAGGTAGGGTGGGCTGAGTAACTGACTGATTTATCATTGATTCGAGTAGATTCGCTGATATTCCGCCAGACGAGGACTGAGATGACGTGGATTGAGTTAGAAGCGCTGCTATTTCTGCCAAACTCTGAGGGAAATTACTAGCAAGATTCTCAGGAGATATCTCAATCCCTTCGCTGCGGAGAGAACGACTCATCTCTTGAAAGTGTTGAGTGAACTGCTGGAGTGCTAGACTAGTATCCAGGCTTGTTCCATCTAATCCTAAACTGAGACCACCTGGAGATGACGACAAAGTAGGCGTGGTCGGTCCAAGGGGCGGGGCAACACTGTTACTAGGTATCCCAGGGAGAGAGAGGGGCGTGGCAGACAACTGTTGGTTGCTAGGCAACACGGGCGTTAATTGAGTCGAGTCAACGGGGCCGTTTGACGGATTCAAAACTAAATCTTCAATCCCGTTCTTTTCTCCTCGCCCCACAGCCCCCCGGGGGGCATTAAGTGCTTCGGTGAGAGAGTGGGAACTGGCATGGCGGGATATGTCATCTAAGCTTATTTCCATAGACTCCTCCTCATCTTGATGCGATGGCGGGCCGGACTGCTCTAGTACCGTGGTCTCTTCTCCCCCTCCTTCTCGTACAGGGGGAGGGAGAGGTGGGGGAGAAGGTAATGAATTGGCGTCTACTATCTCTACTGGGACGTTAAGCCCAGAAGCAGAGCCAGGGAAGACATGGCCTAGAGACGAGGAGGAAGAGACTGACGTTTCCATGTGTCTTGGAGTATGCGCAGTAAGAGTCAGTAATGGCGCACCAATGGCCCCTTCCTCTTTCTCACTGAGCATGTGCGGGAAGGTTGCTAAGTGACGTCATAATCGTTGCTAGGTAGATTTTCCAGAAAATTTGCGCATGCGTACAAAATAGTTCCGCGCCACCCTGGGCCCGGGTAATAAACTACCACTCCCACAAGAAGATTAGATTAACTATTTTAATTTTAAAATGTCTTATTTCAGAGGGCCCTATTCTGAAAGCTGTGAGGGTAATCTCGTTGGTGGTAAAGCAAAGAACCTCTGGCTCCTGGGCAAGAAAGTTACAGCTGCACCAGTACCACCCTGGTTTGTACTGACCACAGAAGCTTTCACATCTTTTCTTCTTGTAAGATGAAAAGGAGAGGGTGGAGAGATAATATATAGGATGCTAAAAGGGTTTATTTCAGCTGTTTTATGGAGAATTCTTGCCTAGCCATTTTTGACAAAATGCCTTTATATATAGTACAGGGACTTTGACCCAATTTTGGAGGAACTTTAAAAATTCATAAAAAATTCAATTTTGATCGGAATAAGCTCAAACTTTCTATGCAACAGAAGTGCATGTATATGCAACAAAGGATATAATAGAAATGGAGAATTCTCTCCGAACCATTTTGACAAAATACATGTACCCTTAGGTCGATGTAAGCACTTGTTCCCTAGGCCATTGCTTTGTTTATTAACAGGAGAATGATCTCACTGAAGCATCTTTAACCATCACCCCCAACTCACTCAAAGAAAGCACCCAAACTATACAGGAGCAGATAATGAAAGGGAAATGGCCTCAGGACTTACTCGAGACTTTAAATGAGAAGCTGTCCTCTCCTCCATTTGATGAACACGGGCTGTTTTTCGCTGTTCGCTCCAGCGGAACTGATGAAGACTCAGCAGCTCATTCATTTGCTGGTCAGTCAATAGTGTACAGGATATTAACACTGGGATAACAATTCTATATTAGCACATACATGTACTTGCATAAGCCACATAATAATATTGGGATATTTACATTGTCCTATTCTTTTATATTATTCTTTAGGTCAGTTTGAAAGCTATCTCTATCAGAGAGGCTTTGATCAAATATCCAACGCAATAAAGTCCTGCTGGTCGTCTTGTTATTCCGAGCGTGTCATGTCACATAGACTAGAGTGCGGGATGAACACCACTGGAGTTAAAATGGCCGTCATAGTACAGGTATATGTACATGTATGCAGGTACATGTACATGAGAACTATATATTCATAAAATGGTGCTTCGAATGCTCTAACATTTAAAAGCAGACGAACATGTACATGTAAATTCCATATAACTAGCAGTTGAAAGAGTTAATTGGATTAGCAAAAAATGCAATTTAGTTCTTTGAGTAGCTTAATTGTAGTTATTACAACCCTCAGTCACAGATAGTCAATAGAATGCACTACAGATCTCAAATATATTCTCATGTACAATACATGTATTTATCTGATTCACATGTGATTATTGTTTGTGTGGGTTAATTCGTCTGTGTAGGTTATGGTTAATTCAGATGTTAGTGGTGTCGCTTTCTCTCGTCATCCCTTGAAACCAATCTCTTCTAATGCAGTATACATTGAATCAGTTTACGGTCTGGGAGAAGGGCTAGTCAGTGGAGAATTTGATGCAGACCAATATGAAGTGAGAGAGAGGGGGGGAAGAGAGAGAGAGAGAAGAAGAGAGAGAGGGGGGGAAAGAGAGAGAGGGAGAGAGAGAGAGAGAGAGAGAAGAAGAAGAAGAGAGAGAGAGAAAGAGAGAGAGAGAGAGAGAGAGAGAGGGAGGTAGTTAAGAAAAGGATGACTCAATAAATTCAGCATATTTAGGTTATTGTATAAATGTGATGTCTTATTCTTTTAGGTTAGTCGTAAAGATCTTACCATCTCCCAGTGTACTGTAGCAGAGAAACCAGAGCAGCTAGTGCAGAATATGAAAGAAGGAGGGCTAGTGAAGGAGAAGGTCGAAGAGAATAAAGTGAAGGCAAGGTCACTGAGCGATGACGAGGCTAAGAAGATTGCACAGCTAATGATACAGCTGGAAGATGACGTGGGGAAGCCTCAAGACTTTGAATGGGGGATTGAAAAAGGTTATAAAGCCGTAAAGCATTGGAATAATGACAATAATAATAATAATAATAATAATAATAATAATAATAATAATAATAATAATAATAATAATAATACATGTATTCTCAATCTCAATTACAAATTACTTCGTCATATTTTTAGGTCAATTGTACTGTCTTCAGGCAAGGCCTATAGTGACTTTGCCTCCAACTTGTTTCTTTGATAAGTCGGCCATTGGAAGTCAAGCTGTTCTTTGGGATAACTCCAATATTGTTGAAAGCTACAGTGGAGTCACTTCCCCACTCACCTTCTCTTTTGCTTCGCGTGCTTATGAACAGGTAGGAGAGGGAGAGGGAGGGAGGGAGGGAGGAGTGAAAGAATAAAATGAGAATTGATAAGAAGAACAAGAAAAGAGATATGGTTTCAATAATAATGATAATTGTTATGCTTAACTACTACATGTACAATAATGATTGTACATGTACATGTAGTAGTTATAAATGTGTATGAATTTATGTACATATACACGTGTATGTGTATGCAGGTGTACAGACTAACCATGCTGGCTTCTGGTGTACCTCAAAATGTTGTGACTGACTATGAGCCTTACCTCACCAATCTACTGGGTATGAAACCAATACTCTATTGTAGTGCTTGTCAGCTCATGAAGCTCATGCTTTTAACTCACTTAGCATGCTTTGTGGGAAACCATGTATTTGTTTTATAATTATCTATAGGACTGGTCCGTGGTAATATCTACTATAATCTAACCAACTGGTATCGCTGCATCACCTGCATACCAATGATAGACAATGCAAAGTAACAATACTAGATGTACATGTACAATTGTATTGTATATGCTATAGGTACATGGATACTATGATGGGTGTTAAACAATCAGTAGATCCAGAGCTTGATAGAGTCCTGGGTGTCATTAATAGTTCTGCTCCTAAATACTCGCTCTGGACCAAACTATCTCTAATGCTGGCTCTCATTAAAAGAGGTGATCATTTGAAACAAGAAACACTTTGCATGTACCGTATAGCTAGAAAGTACCGTATAGCTAGAAAGTACCGTATAGCTAGTACATGTACATGTACATGTAGTTGTTACAAGTACTTTTTCTAATTTAATTGCTTCTATATTTGTCCCAAACTTATTTCTTATATTATACCTGTATTTGTGATTCTTCACCTTTACCTTTCTCCTTTGTCTCTCTAGTGTATTTTATTGACAGCTACGTGGATGAGTTCTTCACCATGTTTAATAAATATTACTCTGAGGCTTTGGCGACAGATTTTGAAGAGCTTTCTCTCCAGGAGCAAATAAAATATGTCAAGCACCTTTATAAGGTGAGGGGGAGAGGGGGAAGAGAAAAGGATGAATGTGGATGGGATAAGAAATAGAGTGAAATGGCAAAGGTCATAACACATAATGATTTATGAAAAAGCTTTGATAGTAAAGCGGAGGTTAAATAGTACTCTATTACCCGTGTACTACATGTGCATGTACATGTATATGTTTTTTATAATCTGTTTATAGGAAGTTCTGGGCAGATGGACGGTCCCTATTTATAATGATACGTATGTGATGATTTTCTTTGGAATATTAAAGAAACTAGTAGGACAATATCTCACTACTGACGCCAATGAGGTGAGAGCTCATAGTACATTGTATGTACATGTACATGTATCAATGTACATGTACATGTACTCTTATTACTTATTAGAGTGTTAATAGTACATGTATATATTTTATTTCTTTTTGTTCATTTTAGGCGCAATCATTGCAGAATGATCTCCTTTGTGGACAAGGTAAAAGGTCTACATGTAATTATAAAATGTTTATTTGCCTTTGCTCCATTGGATTAATGCTCACACTACTCTGAAAAGTCTCTCTTTAGCTATCTGTATAAGTTTCTCCTCCTTTTTCTCTCCCTCTCTCCTTAAGGTGATGTTGAGAGCACAGAGCCCACCAAGATGCTGATGAGGATTGCAGAACACATTGATACTGATGGACAGACTGAGCTGAAGGAGTGGTTTGTGAACAATAGGGAGGAGGTGTTGAGCATGCTGGCCGATGAGAGAGACAAGAAGGCATCAAGCAAATCAAGCTCATCTCAAGCATCAAGCAGGTTCGAGAACAATTTGTATTATTATTTTGCTACCTAGTAATAATTTTTTAATAATGTGCAACTGAGAAAAGTTACTTATGGTTTTGTGGAAAAAATTAAAATCATGGGCTATTGTAGTTTGTCTTTTTAAAAATATTTTTCTATTTTTTAGTTTACACTCTGAAGGTCTGAGACAGAGGAAGGTTGGAAAACCTGATCCGGGATCACAAACTAGTCCAACCAGTTTGACTCCAATTGAACAAGTAATGTTAATAAAATGAAATTAAAACTTATTGAAGTACTTTTTCTAAGGCAAAATTGTCAGTGATTCATTCGATAATGACATTCCTTGATAAGTATGGGTTCAGATGCATCAATGAGTTGAAACTAGAAGAAAACACACTTCATGATGACCCAGGTAATCTAGTCACTCTACCAGCTCTTGCCTCTTTATTTTTTTTATGTCTTCATTTCTCTTACTTTCTCTCTCTCCCCCGGCCTCCCTGCTAAACCTCGTCTCTAATATACATGTGCATGTGCATGTATACTCTCACATTATTTTATCTATCTCTTCATCTCTTTTTTACTCTCCTCCCTCCTCCTCTCTCTCCCCTACAGGTTTTGTTTTTGATGCTATATCTGGTTATATTCATACTAAGGCGTACAGTGTTGGTGATATGGAGGAGAGGGAGCTCGGGATTAGAAAAGCAGCTGAAACGGTCGTCTCACAGCGTCTGTCCTTCCCCAAGAAACTCCTTTTCAATTGGATACTTTTTCACTCGCGTAGAGGTGATTAAAATAGCAATCACAATAACCACACCCACTTTTATTGTTTTATTATTTAGGAGTGAGACACAGGGAAAACATGAGATTTGCCCGCACGAAACTTTTCGGGATTTTTAGGAACCTTTTCCGTGCCATTGGAACCAACTTTGTCAAACTAGGCCTGTTAGAAGACAGACAGGTTTGGTATGTCTTATACTTCCTTTTATGGTCATGGGCATTAATTAGGATGTGTTTTATCTGACCGTTGATGAGTTGTATACATTTGTTGACGGCCGAGCTGTTACTAATAATATATCTGAGCTGGTGGATTTGAGAAAGAGAGAGTTTGAGGGTTATAATAAAGGCCTGGCTCCGCCCGAGAGGTTCTTGTCCAAAGGAGCCTGTGGGGTCCATTTCCTCTTCCCTCAAATCCTTGATGACTTGGATTTATTAAAAGAACAAGAAGTGAGGGATTGAAAGAAAGCATGTCCATTATTATCCGCCCAATTCCTTCCCTTTCCCCCTCTCTTTCTTTCTTTAGGCTGAAGCTGCTTCTGATCCAAATAAGTTAAAAGGGACTCCTTGTTGCCCAGGGGTTGTCACTGGAGTTGTAAGAGTTGCTAAAACTATTAAAGAGACACAGGTAATCTCAGTGAATCATGATTGATTCTGTCTCCTTTTTACTAGACCAACACCACACACTATTCTTATGTTATGTAGAAAGTTCCAATAAAATTATAGTTGATTATATAAGACCATAGCACAGGGCCTTTTGTCAAAAAATGGCTCCATTAATTTTCATGATGCCTTTATAGAACCTTAAAGGGGAGATATTGATAACAGCTCGTACCGATCCAGGCTGGGTCCCTCTCTATCCAATGTGTTCCGGACTAGTCATTGAAAGGGGAAGGTACATTATAACTACCACTGATAGTTACACGTAATAAATAAAGTAAAAAGTGTCTTTATTTTACACAACAGACCTATTTCTACACTAAATTCTTTTTTCTTTTAGTCTTTTGTCACATTCAGCTGTGGTTGCAAGGGAATTAGGACTGCCTACTATAGTTGGTGTATCAGGAGGGCTAATGAAGAGATTGAAGACTGGAATGCGTGTTCATATTGATGCTGGAAAAGTAAAACTTGATAAATTATAATTATAGATAATTATTCTATGCTATAGGGAGTCCTTACAATACTAAATGACGATGAAGAACAGTGATTTTAACTTTTTCATAATCATTATCAAAAACTTTGTTATTAAGAATACATGCTCTTGTATTCTTGTCATAATTAATTTTAAGAAGGTACAATGTAGTTTTAATCCTTTTCATAGCTCAAATTTTAAGTAAGATGCTTTAATTTTATGGGTACTCAGTCAAATTTATGACTAGTACAGGCCACGCCCAATAACAAAACTCCTCTTTAAAGATGGCGTCGTTTGAGGAAGATCCTTCTCCTCTCTCCCTCCAGTCTCATTGCGTGTTGACTATCATTAGCCACTGTGCTACATATCCAGTGGAAACTCTTTCTCTTCTCCCTCCTCGTCTGAGAGTTTTAATAGCACACAACGTTTCCCCGTACGATCTACACAGACTGGAACAAGGAACCTTTTTTAAAGGTCTAGAGAGCCGAGTACAAATCCAGGATTTGTGGAAGAGACGCTATGAGAACACTTTACTTAAATTTTCTAACATTTCAGGTCTAGATATAGACATGGAACTCCACCATCCTTCCCCCTCCACCCCCCTCTCCCTCTCTTGGAAGGATCGCTACTTGCTGGCCTGTTTGTTGAATTTCCCTCGGATTTACCCCAATGTAGGAGACTGGAGTGGCTTGAAAGGTCCTTTCTCACCATGGGGAGTGGCCATTTTTGGTCTAACCGACCTTTTATTACCAAAAGGTCAAATTCACAAGGAGAAAGTCGACAATGATACAAAACATGGCCTCCATTGCTTTCCATCTTCTCAGCATATTACTCCAGGAAAAACCACAAGCTACTTTGTATCAGTGCTTCACATGTCGTTAATAGAGACCATACATTCTGACGAACCCGGGGAATCGGAGTGGTCCGTTCAAAAAGGATTAAAGTTATTTTCATTGTTGTTCCCTTCCTGGCACATCCCATATGTTCCTGTGCTATATGATAGAGATGGTCCTCCTCTAATGGTAGCTGAGGATATCCTAGGGAAGCCTCGAGAGCTATG